TCGTATCCTTACATACCCAATGACACGTTGTATCTTTTGCACCGTTACACGATGCCACTGCTGCACGCTTAAAATTAAAGAATAAATAATACTTTTAAATACAGAGTTAAAAATACGTTTTGAGCTGACAGTAATAATTATGTAAATATTAAAATTTCAAAACTTCTAACAATTGTTAGAAGTTTTGAAATTTTAAGGCACTTTTGAGTTATATGAAACACCTTTTGATATGTAATAAATAAGTTAATTTTGTGAAAATGAGACTTTCTATTTTTTACAGAAAATTTTTATTTTCTATCAAGAAAACTTGCGATTACAAGAAAGTAAAAACTTACATGGTTCGTGTCACAAGGCAGTAAAGAGTCCCAAGAGACATTTTGAAACTCATGATCCGGTAATATTGGACCGGGTAGAGGCGGTAAAAAATACATTAAAAAGTAACTTGCACCTGTCATGGCGAACAATGCCATAAAAATCGCTTTTCTCCATTCAAGATAATAATCCGCGGCGTAACCGAGTATTAGTTTACCAATAAAGCTTGCAATAGGCACAATCGCAATAATGCTACCCATAATTAATGATGAAATGCCAAGTTGTTTGCCGTAAACAGGCAGGTACCTCGAAATGGCACCTGTAGCTACAATAAGAAAAATTGTATTCACGGTGTACTTGATAATGTAATCTATTAAATAGTTAATATAGGGGTAGGACTTATTTTTAATATTTTTGTAATTATAATAACAGTAATTGTAGTAACTGTAGTTATATTTTTTTTGACCGTGAGATAAAAAAATATTTATAATTCTTCTTACAATTTTTTTAAATATTATAAATATTTTTATAAACCTGTATATGATATGTCTTCCTTTTTTCTAGTTTATCTCTTAAAAATGATACAAATATTTTAGAATGAAGTATATTGTATGAGATGTTACATATTTGATGATTACTCACCCGCCATAAAGAAAAAAAAATGCACTTTTATAGGCAGTTCAGTGTAATTAATTTTCATTGCTTATTGCTACAAATTTTATCGATCAATAAATTTTATATTTAACGTTCTCTCATAAAAATGCACTAAGTTAACACTGCGTTCTGAATTGCAAGTGAGGTGCAAAAAGAAAATTGTTTTAAGTATTAACGCGCAACAATTTTGTATTATGCAATAGTATATTATAAATGATTACTCTAAAGTAAAGTTTGCTGCTTCGGTGAAAAATATTACTTTGAAATGCGATAAGAGATATAAAAAATAATAATTTGCAATTATATGGATTCTAAGTGAAAGCAGTAACACTGATATGTGTGTGTGTATGTGTGCGTGTATGCGTGCGTGCGTGCGTGCGTGCGTGCATATTATATATACAGGATAACCCATTTTAATCTATCATCCCAAATATTTCCGTTTCCTTGCATTTTATAAGAAAATGTTTCAGACAAAAGTTGTATGGTTTCAAGAGGACCATAAAATAGTACCACTGGTTTGACCTTGGATAGTCGCTTAAAGGTCACATGAAGGTCACCTTCAATTTCTTAAATTAAACTCACTATTTTTCATTACATATTCTTGTAGCTTACCTCGAGAGTTTTCCAAAACACTATAATAAAATATGTTTTCATTAAGTATTTTTCGAGTTATAAGGCTCAAAAGTTACAGTATAGTTGGCATTAGCATTACGCAAGTTGTCCGACCGACGGCTAAAACCTCTTGAATGTTGTTCAGGATCATGTCCTAAATAACATTTGTCAAGATCAAGGCCATTGGTGATTGTACCTCTTATTTTTATTTTTACATAAAAATGAATTTTTAGTGCAAAAATGAAAATAAGAGGTACAGCCTGCAATAGCCTTGTCCGTGGAAGCAGCAATACTTTATAAATATTTTTCTTTTAACGTTCATAAAGTATAAGTAATATATTTTTTCGGAGGGTGTCTAAATACTGACAAGTTGTCAAATTTAATTGATGCATTGAAAGTAGAACGAATACAGCTGCAATTTCTGTAACAACAATGCGTTGTGTACTGGAAATTGTTTAAAATTTTATTTTAAGTTATGGATATCAAATGTGATCGTTATCTAAAGCCATAATTATTTAAATTATCTAGATAACGAGGCACGTGTAAGTTTTACAAAGTCTCTTTGAGGACGCACATATATAGTGTGATACATATTTCTAGTTGCTAAAATGTATAAGTTGATGAAGAAGTTTGTAATAAAGCTTGATAAAATCGCGAATATATATATATATAATGATGATTTGCTTATCAAATAATTTTAAAATATTATTATAATAATTCCAGAGTATTTTTTTTCTAAAAAGTTGCGACTACATATACGGTAACAACGATCGATATTGGATAATTTTACACTTAAAGCGGTACCATCACTAAAATAACGATGTACACTCTATTTTTTATTAGTTTAAGCTTGCATAATTTATTCTTTATTCATACTACATATTCTATACATATAAAATATTATCGTGATGATTCGAGATAGCTAACAATCTAATTCACTGTTATCGATTATTATATATGAAACAGAATGTCTTGTGGAATTGTAATAAATTATTTCCAATGTTGGGGTTTAACGTTTATGTTATTATTTATTAAAAACATTAAACTATAAAAATCACATTTTAATAAAAACGGCATATAATTGTTAAAAAGCTAAATTCAATGTTATTTTATTCTTCTAAATGTTAATATAATACTCAAAATATATTCAATGTTATCTTATTCTTCTAAATGTTAATATAATACTCAAAATATATTTTTCATCCATATTTGTTTTATATAAGATGATAATGTTTAACAATAGCTTTTCTTATTGTAATTTACAAAAAAAACTTAAGGAGATTTGCATCAAGTATCTGCTATATTATAGTATCTCTGTGCATCGTCGAGTTCCCTCCATTTAATATTATTTCGTGTATCTACAATAAAGAAAGTCTTTCATCCTCTTTTATATGTTAGTAAGGTATGTTATTAAAATATTAAATTATTTAATTCCTTACCCGTTTCATGCTTAAACTGCTTAAAGTATAAAATGTGAAGAATAAAATACGTTAATGCAGAAAATGCTGCAAATACTGAAAATATTCTTAGAGTTATTATGCCGCCAAATTTTTTAAACAAGATACCACTTATCAAACTGCCAATCGAGAGTCCTGATAACATATCATAACAGTAATAATAACTATAATTAATGATAAAACGTATATATATATACATATATATATATATACATATATTATTCTTACAAATTATTTATATATTTAGTTTCTTGTAGATAATACTTGATGAATATAGGTACGTATAGTACTGTGTAAGGAATCTTACCTAAACCTTCATACATGCCTTGAACCAGTCCTTGAACAGTACTTGAAGCACCAGTAGGTGTTATTACGTTCCCGTACGATATTACTGTCGTAAAACTGAGTGCATACGATGGTCCCTGCATGAAGAATTCTATAAAAAGAATCCACCATAGCGTTGGCGCTAAAGATATTAAGCCTAACCGAAGTGCGTAACATATGAAACAGAATGTAAAGGTATAATCGTATTTATAAAGACAAATAGATGCTCAACAAATTTTATATCTTATTACTTTGCAATCTTTCTTGCAGAAACGTAAGTATTAAATTTTAAATGTACTAAATCCTAAATTATTCTGTAACAATTAAATACGTTTAAAATTATCTGCAATAATTTTATATAAAATTTTTTACTATTTTAATAGTATTGTAAAATACATAATGTAACGTAAAATACATAATGTAATGTAATGTACTATTGCATAATACCTTATGCAATAGTACATTACATTTATTTAGTTACATAAAACAAAATATATTCACACTTTAATGGAATATACAAAAATACTAACCATAAGATATAAGTAAACGTATATACGTATAATATACGCAATGATTCGCTGTGACTATTGACATACAGCACTATGCAAAAACTCCGAATAAGTCTTAAAACTCATGAGTCAAAAACAACGAATGAGTTTAAAAACTCACATACATATTACAGATTCCAAATAATTATGAACCATTATTTTAACATATGTTAATATATGTTAACATAATACGTCATATAATATGTTAATTATAGTAATTACAATGTTCTTTTTTATTTGCATAAACAATGCATTTGTGAATCTAATAAATTTGTAGTAGATGTACATTTTATAATGTATATTTAATTTTTAAATAAAATTAGTCACAGTTTTATAATGTAAATAAAGTAAAAAAAATAAGTTAATAAATATACAACATATTACTTATACATAAACGTAAGCCTATCATCGTAAGCCTAAGTCATCTTTTACTAGCAAATAAAATGCTTATTCCTCTGCGTTATCTCGTTGAGGAAAGATAATGAAAAAATTAATAGAAAATAGATGCTGGAGCTCTATCGTACAAACCACTGTCAATAACTTGTCAATGTGCGCGCTACATGTGTGTAATTGTGATTTATCAATGTTCTGTTAATTGTGGATAGGGATAAGGAGTTGACAAACAACTAATTTAACATTTATGGAGAATAAGTAAGGTTTCTTGAGATCAAAAATTAAAAAAATAAGTAATCTAGCGCAGAAGATGGTGTGCAATTATATTTAATATATAAAGCGATAAAAATTATTGCATAAAATCAAATATAAGAAATAGTTGAATGTTGCAACAAATTGAGTTGCGCTATCTTCAATAACGCAATAAAAATCATAAACAATAAGAACCTTATTTTAGACTGTACATGTGAGAACACAACCAATGCGAACTAAACATACCTATAACAGAAGCTGGATCTTTAATGCTTAAATAATTCAATGTGAATTATGTATATACTATTCATGTATACACGCGCGCTCATATGTATATATATATATAATATATCTACATATATACATACATATATACATATATACACATCTATATATACATATATACATCCCATACATGCTTATTAGTAAAAAATGTACGAAATATATATCACATTTCTGCTATTACACACTGTTTCTGTGCATCATCTGGTTTTTTCCATTTAATATTGTTGCGAGAATCTACAATAAAAGAAAAATCTATTATGCTTCGACAATATTCTGAAAAAGTTTGTCATAACATGGCTAAAATTACTTGATCTTTTTACCTGATGTTTTATGCTTTGAATACAGAATATGAAAAAGAAAATATGCCATTGCAAAAAATGCTGCAAATACTGAAAATATTCTCATAGTTATTGTACCGCCAAATTTTTCATACGAAACACCTACTACCAAACTATCAATCAAGTACCCTAGAAATATTAAAATCAACAAACCATAATAACAATAATGACTAATTAAAATTACAAAAATATTTATTAGGTGTACAAGTATGACTTTACGGATTTTTCAATGGATGGTTATATATAGTAGTCATGCTGGTATTATTTGAAGTTGGCAATACATGTATAACTTGAAAGGTGTATACGTATACGCAGCTTTAAAACGTAGTACATTTCATTTGACTAAAGTATAAACAACTATTATTTTTATCGCATTGAAAATGTTAAATTTTGTACCGGAAAAACGCCATTTACGGGAAGTTTTACTTCATTGTTTTTTTTTAAAGAAAAGTACAGCTGAAAGTCATCGTTTGCTTGTGGAAGCTTACAAAGAATATGCTCCATTGGTAAGCATGTGTGAAAAATGGTTTAAACGATTCAGAAACAATGATTTTGATTTGGATGATAAAGAGCATGGAAAGCCTTTTATGAAGAAATAAAAAATTGGCTTTATAACTAGATCGCTTCAAATCATCCAGACTTCTATCAACGTGGAATCCGTTTATTGCCTGAAAGATGGGCCAAGGTTGATGGCTTCCAATGGAGCATAAATTTGAATAAAGTAAGAATGATTTTTATGTTATGTCTAATCAATGCGTTTTTTTTAATCAAAAAATCCGTGAAGTCATACTTGTACACCTAATATATATATTATTAATACATATTGTGTAAAATTTTTTTATAACAAAATAATTATTGATAAATATATAATTGTATAATCTTACCAAAACCATCGTGCACGCTTTGAACAAGTCCTTGAATAGTAGCTGAAGCACCTGGAGGTGTTATTGAGTTTGCATACGCTATTATTGTTGCTATGCAGAGAGCATACGATGGCCCATGTAAAAGTAATTCTATCGGAAGTATCCACCATGGCATTGAAGATAAAGATATTAATCCCAGTCGAAATGCGTAGCATACAAAGCAAAATATCAAGGTATAAGTATATCCTAGCTTTTCTATTATTTTGCCTGAAGGAAAGAAATTCAATGTAATATTTTTCAGAAAAAATATTTTTAATTACGTTATTGTTTAAATATGCAAATTGTGATGAGAGGTAATATTACCAGAAAAAAAAAGAAATACTACTTCACCACCGAAAATTTCTGCCAATGTGATTAAACCTTCTATCAATTTAATTTTGCTCATATAATTAGTTGTAACAGCGAGATCTTCTACATACCTGTAAAATCAATTTACATTGAATATAATTAATTACATTTGATTCTACACTTTAGAAATAGCAAATATTTTTTTGAAATAGCAAATAAGCAATAATTTATTAGGTGCGCAACTAAGTTCTCGCTGTTATTTTGATGAAAATGCAACTTGATTGTGAAAAAATGGTTACAAATGAATCATTGAAAGTATTGCCCATCGCTAGCTACTACTTTTTCCCATCTTTCTGGCAGAGCTCGAATACCGTTACGGTAAAACTGTTCATCTTTTGAGACTATCCACGAATCAAGCCATTTTTTGATGTCTTCATATGAGTCGAACTGCTGGTCAGCCAGACCATGTGCCATTGAACGGAACAAGTGATAATCGGACGGCGCAATATCTGGAGAATATGGCGGGTGGGGTAGGACTTCCCATTTCAGCGTTTGCAGATAGGTTTTAACGGGTTTTGCAACGTGAGGCCGAGCGTTGTCATGCTGTAGAATCACTTTTTCGTGCCTCTCCGCGTATTGTGGTCGTTTTTCGCACAGTGCTCGACTTGGAAATGGCTTGGCGGGTAACTCCTAATACTGAAACAAGCTCTTCTTGCGTTTGGCACGGATCCTCATCGAGCAATGCCTCCAATTCAGCGTCTTCGAAGGTTTTTGGCCTTCCTTCACGCGGACGGTCGTCAACATCGAAATCACCGTCTTTGAAGCGACGGAACCAATCTCGGCACGTTGTTTCACTTAGAGCAGCATCTCCGTAAACTTTTTGGAGCTCTCGATGCGCTTCAGCCGCCGTTTTCTTCGAATGAAAGAAGAAAATCAATACTTCCCGCATATGACGATTATTTGGCACAAAATCAGACATTTTCACACAACCAAAAGAATATAACGTCAAAACAAAATCACTAATGTGTCGAAGCGGTTTGTTTACCATATGTCTAAGCTTGGTTCATGACGTTTAGATTATGTCAGAATCGACCAGCACTTACTGCTGGAACCATCTATTGACAAACAGCGGGAACTTAGTTGCGCACCTAATAATATTGCCGATAGGGATGTAAATTTACCATAATAAAAAGTTACGCTTGATGCTATCAAGGATCCCAAAAAATGTAGCAAAACACAAAAATATAATGATAGATTTTGATTTCAAAAGCGTAATCACATCCTTTACTATAGTTGTAGATCCTGATTCAAATGACATCTGTAACAAGGATTTATAATAAAAGATATAAAAACATAATGTGTGTGTGACAAAACTATGTGTTATATTGCAGTACATTGATCTGATTCATTTTTTTATTTTGAAGTGCATAAAAGATAAAACAAATACCTTCAATTTTATACAGCAGATTAAATCAATACAAATAAATATAACTGCAGGAATAAGCATTGATGTATAATTTTTATAAATTTCATGGTCATGTGACCATAAGTCTACCATATATCCAGATAAACATGCAGCAACACCATAACCCATTGCAGCCCATAATCGCTGCTTACCGTATTTCAACTGTTTAGTTTGTCCTAAAATAAACGATCTTAAAAATAGTGTTTCTCCTTTATATGATTATAATTACATGAAACTATAAAGTTAAATATGTATTGTAAAAGTTCGATTAGGCTAAATTTTAATATTTTGGCAATTAATTTTAAAATTTATGCTTATAAAATCACATACCTAATATACCAAAACAAATAGCATCGCTTATACCGAGAGAAGTATAATAACTAATCTCGCCAAGACACCACAACAGGATAAAAATCCAGAAAGTAATAGATGTGTATACACATTGGTTTTCGAAATTATCACAAGTAATATTGCAATCATAATTATTTGTTATACTTCTCTCACACAATAATGTCTGATTAATGTTTAATAAACATGTAGAATCTGGTGAGATAATTGCTTCGTTTTGATTTATATGAAAAGACAATCGCACAGAAAAATTCATATTTTTGCATACCCAATGGCACGTAGTGTCTATCGTACCGTTAAACGATGCAATTGCTGATTCATGCTTAAATAAAAACAAATTAAGGTAAAAGTACCGATTAGAAGACCAAGCTCTAATGACTTTATTGATATATGTTACAAACTTTTAAATTATATTTAAAATATATCTTACAATAAATTAATATAAACTAATATAAATGAATATTTAAGTTTCACTATTAACACATTATCGAAAATATACACAATTGTGAAAAAATGAAAACTTACATATTCCATATCGCAATGTGATAGAGATGTACATGAAATATTTTGCAAATGCTGACCCAGCAACATTGGACCCGGCAATGATGGTAAAAAAAATATCACAAGAAGAGAGCTACTTGTTACTATGACCAACATTATAAAGATCAGTTTTCTCCAGTTTCCAAAATAGTCAATTAGAAAGCCAAACACTAATTTTGCTATTAAATATAATATTGGAAAAATCGTGCAAATGATACCCAATACTAATGGTGAAATACCTAGTTGCTTTCCGTAAACTGGAATATACGGATAAGTAACGCCAGTACCTAAAATAACAAGAATTTGTTATTAAATATCTCTCTCTCTCTCTCTCTCTCTCTCTCTCTCTTTAACATAATATATTATATTAAATTATAATAATTAATTTGTCTCTTTAATATTTTTGAACTGTCATAACATGTGATTCTTAATTAAAATTTACATCGTAATACATATTATAAAAACTTATATCACAATGTCAATTTTAATAAATGTATATTAACTGTAAAAATAAATGCAAAAATAAATTTTTATGTTTTAAATATTCTTAAACAAGAGTGGCTGTATTTTCGAGAGGGTTTGCCTACAAAACGATTGCCTACAACTTCGTTTGCACACAGCACATTGAACACACAACATTATTGCACACAGCGTATTGTACGCACGACAATATTGCACACAGCGTATTGCACACACGACAAGGTTGTACACAGCGTAATGCAATTGTTTTGTAGGCAAACGGGATCCTCCCGTATTTTCACTCTTTTTTCAAGATTGGCTCAATTTTCAGTCTCTTCGAGTAAGATTTCATTCCACGAGATTTAGAGAGTACAGGAACATATACTATTGTATGTATTTATAAATGATTACTTACTTGCAAAAAAAAAGAAATAATGCGCCTTTATATACAGTTGCGTGTAATTAATTTTCATGATTTATATTTAAATTAAAGTAAATCGTAATATCTCCAAATTTTATATCCCGCTATTTCTCTCTATAAAAACATATTAAGGGCCTTAGCAGATTGGCTGACTTATAATTTTATAAAACAACGTCTTATGAACTAAATCTTTTATCTTTAGTCATGCACAATAACTGTCTTGTGACTCAAGTCTTAAAGATGTGATACCTCGTATATATACACCTTTAAGATTTGAGCCACAAGACAGTTATTGTGTGTTACTAAAGACAAAAGAGTTAGGTCATAAAATATTGTTTTAAGATTATAAGTCAGCCATTCTGCTAAGGCCCTAACTCCTTTTGATAAATTGACTTATGAAAATATAATTGAGTTGTTTGTGATAACAAAACTTTTACAATGATACTAATATAATATTGGTAAAAATCGTTCAGTATTTACACCTAAAATAAACAGTATACATCAATTTTAGACAAATTCTAAAAGAAAAATTGAGAAGAGAAACAAATCCTTACAACTATATACCTACATCAAATAAATATATTTTATGTACAATATGAGACTGCGAATAAATTTTTAATGTTTATTTTAACATTTTTCGAATTAATATAAAGTACCACAAAATTGTTTAATATATCTTGGACACGTTTGACAAAACGAACGTAACTGAAACTATCATCAACAACAATACCCAGCACCGTGAAATGGGATGATATTTTTAATAATGATAGTTAAAAGTTATAATTTCAATGCATTTGTAAGCTAATGAATTTTTAAATCGTAACGTCATCGGATATTGTAGTAAATTAGCAATTTACAAGTAAATAGTTCGTTTATGCATTAGTATAACGTTGACGATATCTTATTTATGACATTATCTATAATTGTAGAGTAATTATAGAATAGAATAAAAATATAATTCTTTTTAAATAAAATTATAATAAAAATGAAGTTTAAATTTCGTTTATTCATGAATATATTTATAACCCTCCATTATGAGATAGGCGTCTAATATGAGATAACAGTGTTTCTGCTAAAGTAATAAACGTTATTTATTGGTTCCACCATGAATTTATTGCTTTTGAAAACTATTTAATGGAAAATTCAGTATTAGATCATGTAGTCATTGTAAAAGAAGATTTTAGAATTTGGATGTCTTCAAATTTCACTGAGATGAGCCTTTAAATCTTGTTTATTATGTAATAAGTAAATATTTGGCAACAAATTCTTCATGTAGTGATAGAGTAAGGTCGTATTAATAGAAAAATACATGATATGTTAAATTACGTAATTATAGAAGATAGATTTGATGATCATAAAACCGTAAGGCGTGAAAATCATGAGATACCCAGGATATTTCTAACATGAAATAACCTATGCTCCTATGTCATAGTGAAAATCATTACTAAAGTATAAATGTTATTGTACAAAAAAGGATAACCGGAATGAACATTGAGTGCCTGTTTCTGCGATACTTGATTCCAATTACCTGAACACGAGTCCTAAGTACAATACATCGCATGCTCATTTTGTGCGTGTACACAGAAAAAAAATTTGCAGATTTTAAATAAATATTTACTCCAATAGTACTAACGAAATATTTACTAAATATAAACATATCTTTATTCGATTTAAAACATAACTGTTTTATTTTGAATAAATATTTATTTACTATAAATAAATATTTCGTTAATACTTGGAATAAATATTTATTTAAAATCTGCAAATTTTTTTTTCAGTGTACTGAAAAAATCTGTGTTTGTATTTTAGAAACATTAAATAAAATTTTTTTAATTCAAATACTGTGTACTTTGCGTTTTATTATCGATTTCTCATAGGCATCTCATATTAAGAGCACAATTTTTTAACTTTGCTATTTACTCGCTTTTTACATTTCTTTAATTTAAAAAAAAATAGATTTAAAAATAGATAAAATTTGAATTAAATTTTACATAACATTATCTTAAAGCTTATTAAATTCTCTTCAAAATGACCTATTATTTTTTTAAATTCTGCCCATAAACTTCTAGCATTTATCCAAAATGAACTCGGTATCTCATAATAGAGGCTTTTCCTTTATATTTACATGTATATATTTTTATATTTTTAACTATCGCAGCATGTATTTACAGCAACCTTCACTAAGGATGCGATAAAACTTGAAGGTTGGCGATATATCATCGTTGCACTACTTTGTTTTCGAACTACATTTTTTTTAAACAGAAACTAAAAATAAAACTGTAAACATAGGTACAAACTAGAAAATGTCTTCTATCGAAGTTAGTATTTTTTTGTGATACCGTTTGCAATTTTGTAATAATTAACATTTTCGTAAAATAAGCAAAAATGATCATCTGATAAAATGGGCTCTAAAATTGACAGTAATACAGTAGACAGTAATACACATATTCCTATTCTATTTCTTTCACAGGAATTATCTGTACAAAATATCTACAAGTAAATATATAAAGATTTTTAGAATCCTTTCATTTCAATATAAAACATGTTTTCAAAAGAAATTGGAAAGAATAAGGACAATAGGAGTCAGGCGCAGAAGACGTCGCGCAAATAATACACCCATAAAGCATAAAACTTCTTTATTCTATTAAACGCGCTTACATGTTTCGACTCACTTTTGAGCCTTCTTCAGAGACAGCACAAACATAACATATATAAACTGTGAATAAAAGTTATCTTGTCATGATGAGCTCCCTTACATCAAGAATTTAAATGCCAGAATTAAACCCAAATAAGAGTGACAGAAAAAGAAAAAAAAAAGAAAGATAATATTGGAAATATCAAAATAGAAAATATGGAAACCCCTAATTTATCAAAAAACTTTAAAATTATAATTAATTATCCCGAAAATAAGGACGCTCACCGTGATCACGAAGCACTATATCGCAAACATTACTATTAATAATTCAAAAACTGATAATTCTTGATATGTTGACCAGTCAGTATCAGACACAGTGAGTCACTTTTAGATTTAGCTAGTAACTTTTCGAGATTGCAAAACATGTTTTGTTAATTTATGTGCATATTATATTTCATGCTGTTTCGTAAAGACGTAAACATGTAACACGACAATTTTTTAGAGAGTTTTCTCGTAAATACAGGGCCTTCAGTCCTGATAGTTCACACAATAACGCAACGCTATATAAAAATTAGATTAGTTTATAATTCTACAACCGGTTTACGCTGAACTCCAATTTGCAATTTAAAATTATACTATGATATATATAGAATTATACTATATTTAAAATTATACTATGAGAAAGATAAAAAAGAAAGATAAGAAAAAGTATGAATAAAATAGATTTATAAACTACAAACGATCTAATATTATCAATAATATATTCACTATTACTTAACCTATGAAATTTGCAAAATAAAATAGTAAGAATTTTATTTTTGCATGTGATCAAGGTGAGCTTCCTAATCATCGGAATAATTAATTATAATTTCAAAATTTTTTGATACATTAGTTTTACATTTTCTTTATTTCGAGAATTTCAAAATTTCTTTCCGCCTTTTTTCTTTTTTACTGCATTCTTATCTGGATTTAATTCTGGCATTTATACTCTCGAGGTGAGGAAGATCACCATGACTAGTTAATAATTGTTATATTCTATGTATGTGAATTTATTAGTTATCTCTGAAGAAGGCTCAAAAATGAGCCGAAACATGTAAGCGCTTTAGTAAAATAAAGTAGTTTCACGCTACGATAGTCGTGTTATTTGCGCAACATCTCCCGCGCTTGACTCCTACTGCCCTTGTTCTTTCATTGTTTTATTTTCGCATTTTAAAATTCATTTTTAAGTTATTTTATATAGAAACAGGCCACAAATCATCATCTAAACAAATCATATTTTTATCAGTATTAACAATTAAGTACAATATTAAGTTTCAGAGAAATAAAAAGATGTTACGTTAAAAAACCTATTATGTCAGCATCGACGATTTTCCTCTACAAAAAATTACGTAAAGATAACAATTTATTTATACAAGTTAAGAGTATTACGCGGGATCGCAATAAATTGTGTAATGTATGTAGACAATAAATCTTGCCTTAATTACAGAAACTGTTTCTGTAGGTATGATAGAATATATTGGTAATAGGCAACACAGAGCGTGTGTATTACATAACACAATATCACTTGAAGAAATATATAATAAAGTTAATCTCCTATTTAAAAAACATTTTGATTAACTGCAGATAGAAATAATTAATAATAAACATACTGAGTCAATTTGGCAAGCAATCTGGTATTTTTTATCGACATTCCTAGTGTCCGAAAAGGATTGAAATAGATTGAAAATTTTTAATCCATTTTAATTTATTTGAATCCAAATTCTTAATCCATGAATAAAAAGGAAATGTGGTAAATTAAATGTGGTAAAATGGAATCATTTTTCTATTCATGTACAGTAATAAAACATGATTCTTTTTTATAGATGGATTCAAATGAATTCAAATAGTTTCACTTTTTATGGATTAAAATATATTCAAATTGTATGTCAATCAGCTATAAAATTAATTCAGTTTTATTATTAAAATAAGTATTATTATAGGTCTGTTCTTTTTAACTAAATTTTGCACGATTCGTCTTTTTTCCTTATCTCTCCACATTATGGAGAGAAAAAAAGAAAAGATGAATCGTGCAAGAAATTCAATTAAAAAGAACAGGCCTATTGATTAGTATGTCATATTGTAAAAGATACATACGACAAAATTATAATGAAAAAATGTTTCCCTCTAAATATTAGGGAATTAATTTTTATGATGTTCTCAAGTAGTCACTTATCCTGAAGCTGTATCCTCCAATTCGCTTGATCCCTCCAATCGTATGGAACTGCTACTTCAATGACCCATGAATCTTGAATTTTATAATGTACAACTGTGACATATCTGATCAATAGATATTATCGAAAAGGTGATTGACATATACAGTTAAAATATATTTTTTTCATAAATGTCCTCGTGGAGAGTGAGGCGAAGAAGTGAATAAA